ATATACACGCATAGGTACCTAAGTCGTCTGTCCGACTGACGGCCTTCCTTTCGTCTTCTGAGCATGCTCAACGATAAAATAAATTGTATAGTTCGATATTAATATATTAGCAATCATGAATAATTGAATGTGGCAAAATATACTAATCACATCGCTATCTGATTTGTTGCTACTGAGTTTAAAGGCCGAGAATTGCTCTATGATAGATATATATCTTCGCATTTGTAATATTGTCATACGTCTTGTGTGACAGAAGTTTATCAAATTGATAGTTGACAATCTATTCAAATAAAGAGTACACGCTACATATATAATTTTTAATTAGTATTGGTGTGAGCGCAATTAATCATCGAATCAATTTGTAAGGAGATTTTTAAATTCTTTGATTTTTTTTTATTTGCATGCACAATAAATGGCTTTTGGTAAATCGCAATATAAATTTTCATTTTTCTCGAAAAGATATGAGTCTACTCGTACAATTTGTTTGTGAGCGATCGACGAACCGAGTCTATGTGAGTTGCACGCCGTGACGGATAAGACGCTCTCGTTCATTACTTTTAAGCAGATCGTTAGTTTACTAACAGATCCCTTTTTCTCACGACCGGTTATTCGTATGAGTGGCGACGCTCAAGAAAACACGCGGATGCACGCGGCTGTTGGAATTCATGCGCCTCTCTAAAAACTATAAACAAAGTAGAGAGTGTCGCTCGATCCCATGAAAACAAGTGGCCGAGGGCACCCAGGGAGTTCAGTAATTCGAGAGCTTTAATCGGATCGGTGTTGTGTTTCGCGGACCCACGACAATAATGTTGCTACGCGCTTTCGCGGTGTTATCGAATGTTCTTTTGCTACGAAACATTCTGTGCTCCAGCAACAACATTGGTTATCATTTCCAACTAATTTTTACGTTTACGATAATCGAAGAATGTACGGATTTTCGTAAGTGCAAACATAATGGAAAAAATATTATCTTCACTGTATATTGTATAATGTAGCGAGCTACTTCGAGTATATCATTTATAAAAATACATGCTATAAATTACACAGCGTGTACATATAATTATCCCGACCATGTTAGAATGTTATCTGATGAATGAAGAATATTTAATTCTATGTCGTTGGTCGATAGAAAGTTAAACGGATTACATACGCGAAATCCTTAGAATTGAATCTCGCTTAATCCGTGGTCCGCTTAAATGCGGATCATATATTTAATCTGAGTTGAGTTGAGATGATTTATCTGATATTATTAGTGACGGTATAATTTATTGCAATTTATGCACAATGATTAAAAGATTGAAAATTATTTTAAATTTATTAATAAAACAAACAATTTATTAATACTTGTTGATTTGAAAATATAATAATAAAAAAATACAAGATTACCGAGACAGTATTTTCAAGATACTAAATTTTTTATCGGAGTGTTTTGACGGTAACTTGAATATTTTTTCAATTTATGTATAATTAAAGCTATTATATATAGGTAGATGCTAATAGATATGCAATTTTAGATTACTCCTAAACAAATTTAGACAAGAAATTCGCTACAAGAACATAGAATTTTGCGATAGGGACTTTCGTAAATTTTGTTCGTACTTTTTAAAGCGAGAATTTATATTGCTACTCTCTTCGCAACCAACAGTCTAAATTAAATTTGCGGAAGATTCTCCGCGCATAAAGCAGTGGACCTTCCACAAAAGGCAAACAATCGGTATACATCGCATACGAACACGTTTCCTGCTTCTGTTCAGTTTAACTGTATAGACTTTGACATTGTTACGCCCTTTTCCAACACAATAAGAGAGACAGTAGGGATGTTTCACAGAATTACGCACGAATAGGAAGCAGGTTAGGGTCGCACACAATCACATTGTATCAGCTTTTCCAATGTAGATGATAATGTCACCTAAAATAATACTTATTAAATTTTCTAGAGAAATTAATAAGTATTAGACATAAATTAGAAAGTTATAATTTAATTGTTGTTGATTATATGCATTGCTGTTGCATTGCACATCTTATTATTTTATATTCTTTATATACATTTAACATTTTATTCTATATTTCGTAAATCCCAAGTTCTAGTTGTCAAGCACGTGGACGTTATATAGATTGTAGAATACGGAAGAGCAGCAAGGGTGGCAGCTTTCTCGGCTCTGATGACGTTTATCGAATTTTTCGCAGGGCCACTTAGATAATTCGCAGCAGGCAGGGGGCTTACGTAAGAATCGATCATTCTCTGGCGTCACGAGAAATTTAATGGCTCGTGGCTTGCTGCGCGCGCGCGATCGAGAGAGAGAGAGAGAGAGAGAGAGAGGAAGGGGGAAGAGACAGAGAGAGATCGAAGTTCTTCTCTCGTTACTATTGACAGATGTACGACATAGCTGGATTCATCTCGGTGCTGGATCTATGACAAAATAACAAGCTTAAAATGCCCTTTGCACCTCGTAGCTCCTTACAATGTTCTGGAAATGCGAATTAAACGAGCAAAAGAACAAAAAGAAGTGCAAAAAAGAATTGATGATTGTGCAGTTTCTTTGTTTGGGACTACAAAAGGCAATTCGTTGCGGTATATGAATATCTGCAATATACGCTAAAGGATCGATTTTTTGCCAGCAGAATATTTATATTGCAAACAAGGAAGTTGTCTTTATAAGAGAATTTAAAGCTTTGTCTAAATGTTAGTGAAATTTCATTATTTGAATGAAATCTGCTAGACAACTTTCTCTTTTACATTCCAAACCTTTTGTTATTATACGAACAATTTTTGTATTCAATATATTTAAAATTCTTTCTTCAAAAAACTTGACAGAGTATACATATTGTATAATTTTAAAATACTGAAGTCAATAACTTTTCTTGTATTTTTATTTAATTGGCTGTTGGCTATGTGAATGGTCAAACGTTGGATCTCCTTTAGTTGCTTACTACAGTTTATTACGTGACTGAGCAAAGAATGTTTTAACAATGTGAAGACGAAGAGGTAATATTTAAATGTTTGACAAAATTTTCCATAGAAAGAAATTTCTCACGATCTCTTTTACTTCCAAATGTAATTTACATAACTTTAGCTCAATTTGACATTATCTCGTCTATTTCATGTATGATCTGTACTTACTGCATCTATGAATAATATCTTATAATTAATTATTATACTCGTATCTAAAGAATTAAATGATATTGAATTATAAAAATATCTATATAAATAAGTTAAATCCTAATGGAAAGACAACTCGTCTTCGCGTTTCTATACTATGTATACGTACTATATATACAGGGAAGACGCAAGATAAATTCGGGAATCCAGGATTCATTATCCATTTGGTCGATGGCGTCCAACTCGGCGCCGCCACGTCGATCGATGGCTGCCGAACGCGGATGTGTCAATTTGCGATATTATGCGGAACGCGGCGTGTAAACGCGCGCCGAGGACGACGACGGTAGACGCGCGAGGACGAGCACGGGAGCGGCGAAGGGAGGAAAGTGCGGGATGAGAGAGTCATAAAATCGAGCGAAGTGAACGCCAGGAGGGAGACACTGAGTGATGTCGGTGACAGGTCGCCCGCCCTCCTCCACGTCCTCCTGCAACCGCCTCCTGTCGCTATTACTCACCGAACGCCGAATACCATTCAAAGTTCGAAACCGCACGTTCGCGACCCAATTCCTACGCAGAGTCAGCTGTTCGGTTCATTCAAAGCTCGATCGCTAGCGCCGCTGGCTTCCTGGCGCGAAATATCGGCTAAATTGTAAAAAAAAAATAAAAGCTGATCACGTAGTCGTCGTTGATAATTTCGTTTATGGTTACTGGATATGGACTTGATATTGGACGAACGCGTTATCACTTTTATTAAATCATTCATTCAATGTCTCTATTTTAGCAAATTCATTATTGCAAATAGTGTATTTCGATAGTTATTGTTATACGTGTATCATGTGCATCTTTCGCAAGAATAATTCTGAAGAATAGGTACTAGTAACACGAGTTGTAAGTACTCGTAGTGTGATATATGGGCCAATATGTGTGCATCACATGTGCACCACGTGCGTTTGGCTATTTGCTACATCAAATTTTCGAAATTTTGGATGTATAAATAAAGTTTTTTGTCGGATGCAAAAGTAAACATCGTGGTGATTTTTATTTTTGATTTGTCATTGTACAAATCATTGTACAAATGACTTTAACGTGTTTGTAATGTCTATAAAACACAACAAAAGAAGTATAAATATTATATATATGTATAAATATTTATCATTTGTACCAATTTATCATTTGTGTACCTTCCTCTGGTTAGCCGAAGAATTTTTTTTCTTGTTGTTCGTAAATGCTGTCCGTGATGTCAAATAATGACTGAATAAATTTATTTTAGATAAGATTATGAAAAGATTGCAGGCCATTAGCGACGCTATAGTCGATGGTCAATCCTGGGAAATAAAATATTTATTGTACAGATACGTGCAGGAAGGACTGTAATTTAGAAAAGAATAGTGAATCGTTGAGTTAGGATCAGCTCCAATTCCGCAAACTAGGATCAATAGGAATTTATTCAGGTGGCTGCGTTTGTAAAGCGGTTGGTAGAGAAACGGTGCGGTGGAATTCTCTCTGCCAAGAACCACTCGCCATGCTGACTGTCAGTATTATCCTGCGCTCGTGCGAGCGCGCGAGCGCGTGACCGTTTGGTTCGATTTGCTGAGCGCCAGCACGATAGGAGCAGTTCTGAAAGTGCAATGTCAAATTTTTTACGCTGTTTGTCCCACGTCGATCACCGACGGCACGTTCACACCAAGTGCTTCAGTCAGTCGTATTAATACTCGAAACTGCTCGAAATTACTCACGTTTTCATACTCTCTTTCCGTTCCCTATGTATCGCGTACTTTTTATAACAAAAAAGGAACACGGTTTATCAATATGTTTGAATTAGAACATCAAACATTATCAAGTTGCATGTACATATTATTGAAGCGTAACAACGTTACACGTGTCTCTTTGAGGAATCTCTTTAGAACCGTATTTTTGACTTATTGACAATAAGACTCGAAATCAAACACAGAACACGATGATATTTTTGGCCGTTTCGATCGTTCGAGAAGAGTCTCGGAGCAAGGAGAGGCAAATGCGAGGGAAACGCCTCGGTTGCGCGATTCTGGAATTTGGAGCGATGGAGTCGGTCGATGGACGCATCTCGCTGTATTTCGCGAATGAGGCTGTCTCGTATCGTCGTAGCCATGGCCTCTTGATCGCGATCGTCGTCGCTGACGTCGTCGTCGTCGTGGTCGTCGTTGTCGGCGTCATCGAGGTCGGCGTCGTCGTCGTCGTCGTCGTCGTCGTCGTCATCGCCCGTCGGCAGTCTCGTTGGTAGTGGTGTAGCGATGGCGGAGGATCCGATGGTTCGGAGTCTCGCCGCGAGGGCGCTGGGACCGCGCTTGCTCTCGGCCGGGTCCCGATTCCCGATAGGCGGGTACAGTGGACGCATTGGCCGGTCTCGGTGGGCGTGTCTCCGCGTCTCCCACTCCGTCGCGTAGCACGGCGCTGATTGACAGTTGGCGAACGACTGCGGACGGCGCAGGATCTAAAACCGCGCTAGGCGCTGCTCTCCACGCTCGGTCGCTCCGCTCTTCTCTACCCGTGCGATCTACACCCGGTTGCTTTTTCGTGGGGGAAACCTGAAACACGCATATCCCCGTGGCTGGCTTCGACCGCGCGCCCGCCGCTACGTGTAACACCCTACGAACCTACCACCTTCTGTCCGCCGGAGTTACGAGTGTGCCACACGCAGTAGTAGTCACGGTCAGGGAGGAGGGTCGCCGACTCGTCGCGCCGGTCGCCCGTCGTCTCGCGGACAGCTCTTGCTCGCGCGGTCTCCTCTCTCGACTCGCGTCGTCGCGATCCTGCGGTTATATCGCGTACCGCCCGTCGCCTCGCGTCGCCGCGCCTCGCCTCGCCGCGCCTCGCCTCGCCTCGCCTCGTCTTGCCACTCGCCACGCGTCACGTCGCGTCACGTCGCGTCGCGTTGCGTTGCGTTGCGTTGCGTCGCGTTGCGTTGCGTCGCGTTGCGTTGCGTCGCGTCGCGTCGCGTCGCGTCGCGTCCATCTCGCCTTCGTTTCGCACTCGCGAGACCTGTAACGTCGTGCGTGCGCGATTATTCCGAAAGAAGCGCCGAGCGCGACCCGGTGCGCGCTGTTAGAATCCGTGCGCAACGCGTAAAGGCGGCAACCTCGGAGTAACGAGTCGCCGGAGCACGAGACAACGCGCCGTGTCGTGGCAACGCCGCCGTCACACCGTGTGCGTCACGCGCGTCGCGTCTTCGCTCGCTCCCGTAAACGCTCCCGCGCGACGAAACACCCGCGACGGCCGCGACTCGCTCGAGGTGCGAGCATACACGTCGGTGCATAGTGCTCGCGTCGTGGCGCCCGTCGTCGTCGTCCTCATCTTCGTCGTCGGGCGTCATTGTGGTTCTCACTTGGTGTCGTGAACTGGAGAATGTAACGTGTTCTGTCAGTGACATCATCGGTGATGATCGATTGTGTGGGAAACAGTGAATAGAAGCGGGACGTCGTGTCGTGTGTCGCGGATGTGAAGCGGGAAGGGAGCAGGAAAGTGGACAGAAGCTTTGCCTCGACTTCGCACAACTTTGCAGCGCGGATATCATCTCGATGCGGCACGTTCGCCTCGCGATCACCTCGCGCGCGAACGCGCTCTAGGTGCGTCTTGTGTCCGCGCGCGCGACTTATTTCTCTCCAACGTTATTCGCTCTTGTTGATATCGCGCCAAGGTCAAGCCACGTGTCCGCGCAAGCAAGCGAACGCTCGTAACATGCGGGATTGACGAGAGGAGCTCCGACACCCGTGTGTGTGTTTGTGCGTGTGTGTGGACATCCGAGGTGGTGTAACAACCGCAACGATGATGAGGAAGCACGTGTACCCGGCCCGAGCCGTTGTCGCAGCCGTCGGAAAAGTCCTACCGCAAACGGTACTCACCGCCGAACTCTGCTGACGCTCGTCCGCGACAGTTTGAATTCAGCGTCGGCTGCCGTTTCGTTCCGACCGACGCCGTCCTTGCGCGTGTATGTGTGAGTCTTTCAAAATACAGAGGACGAGACGACACAAAAGGAAAAGCAAGCAAGCAGTCAGCGAGAAGGAATCTGCAGAGAGACACGGAGAGATAGAGAGAGAAAGAGAGAGAACGAAGGATTTCAACAGAGCGGAACCGGAGCAAACCGAGTGGCGACGCAGCCCGACGGCCGATTCGGAAAAAGAAGAAGTGCCGCCGTCGGTCGCCGCGCCGGCGGAGTCCGGAATTTGGAGCCGCGATCCCTTGTCCTTTCCGTCGGACGACCTTATCGTTAACGTGAAAGCCCAGCGTCACGCAGCGCGTCCGAGCGTTTAAGCTTAGCGCGCTATAACAGTGCCGAGAAAGTGTAGTGAAGTGTCGAGGCTCGCTTGCTTACATTGTGGGAAAATACAGCCGCTACGGTGGCTCAGCACGCAGAGTTCCCCGGCGCGGCCAGGGCGTTCATGGCGCAGCCAAGGGTATGTTTCGCATTTGCACTCGCATGCGTCTCTTCTTTATCGCGTCTCGCGATACTCTAGAGAAATGGAGAATGAACGATAGATCGCGTGAAATCGGAGCCGAGGATGATCCAGCTTCGAATCGGCTTTCAAAAAAGCCGATACGTCATCTTTCTTAGAACGATGTAACATCGTTATTAACGAAAATCCCTCGTTCTTTCGCGCGTTCTTCGCGAGTATTTCTGCCGAGTGCTCCAAAAATGTCTACATGAAAATTTCACGAGAATCGAAATGCCGTTGAGGAAAAGTTACATCTTTTTTAAATCTCATGTTTAAAAATGAGGGTGATAACGAGGAAAGAGGTTCTCATTACGCGAAAGTGATTGATTGTCCATTATTTCTGAACGCGATCGCGCCATTCGCGAACAAGATGTAATTTTCGTGGAGCTCTCGCTGCCACGTTTTTGTCCACGATTTCATTTCCGAGACGGTTTCTAGGAATCCATCGCGGCGCGTGAGTTTGTAAAACAGTGTTCCTCTTTTTCTTTCGCTGTATCGCGTCTCGAAAGAGAGTCGGCAGGTTCCGTCTTGGACGCACGCGAGTCCCGCGGCTGATGAATTTGAATTGAGTATCGTCGCCGTGTCGAAAGGGAATTTACATGTTGGCCGCCTCGTTGCGCTTTGTAACGTCGCTTACAACGCGTTGCGGCGCGGCCGAAGAAAGAGAAACGACAGTCGCACAAAGGGGCTGCTTTCGGGCTTGCCGAGAGCTAGCTTCTTACTCACGTGCGAAATTCGAGCGATTCGCGCGCACTCGTGTCATCAGTATCGCCGATTCGCGAAGGATGCGAGAGAACGAGAGAGAGAGAGAGAGAGGGGGGGGGAGGAGGATGAGAGGTCCGATGAATTTGCCGCGAGTCTTGCAGGCTTGTTTCGTGTTTACACACATCGTAATCGCGAACGACTTTGACCGCGGCGTAATTACGTCCGATAATCATAACACAATATCGGGGAGTAAATTTCCTCTGGCCTCGATTGTGAGTCGCGACGACGACGCCTCACGCTCGTCGGTTCACCATCGACTTCCACCGAACAGTTGTGTGGCATCCAAGAGGATCCGAATAGGGATCGTCTGTTGAATATTTACGCCAAGACCGTTTCGGAACTCCGCCGCGAAGAATCTTCACTGATTTCAGGCACGCTCACGCTATCGCAGGCTGAGTATTCACTTGGAGATCGCATATTGTTTCCGAATATCCTTATCCGAATAGTCTTTAATCGTGTTTCACACACAAATCTTTAAGTACACGTGTTTCGAACGGAAAGCGTTCCGTTAGATTTCAGAAGATAGGCGAGAGCTTCATAATTTTCATTCACTCACAGATTGCGCGATGACAAATGCATATGACGTTACGAACGCTTAATTAAAACAAGCGGCAAGTTGACATTCCGTTGTTGTTTTCAATGATGAAAGGCATCGCTACGCTCCGAAACGCATTTCCATTCACTGTGCCTCGTAAACATTTCTAACGTGTCAAAAGTTAGGCGCATTATTTCTTCATTATTCTCTACTAACGTGATAAATAATTGCAACATTATTCCGGTAATAGATTATTGTCTATGATAATTCAATTAAGTATCATTGAAATCTTCTTTTTATAATTTAAGCGCCCGGAGTGACACGAACTTAATGAATCATGTTTCAATAAATCTGTAGTAACTTTTTAGTATATATAGTATCGTTCGTATGATATAGTATAATAATGATAATGCAAATTATTCATTTTCGTTCTATGAAATTTTCCAAATATTCTTCTTTCCACTTATTAAAATTTATTTTAGTTTTATCTCAAAGCTCTATATTACTTTCAGTTTTATATGATTATATCTAATATTTTTATATCTAACATCGATAATGTCACATTTATCTAAATTTTGAATTAAAGTTTACCGCGTACGGTCTCACAGAGACCATAAAATTTAGATCCCTTTTCGAAGAATTAATCAGCTTTCGCGTCACTGGCGGTTTCTTGTTCAATCCAGCGGTCAAATGTGACGAATTGCGGGACAATAGCCTTGTTATAGCCTTTTACATTCGCTTACAATAAATCTGTCAAAAATTTATACGTACGCGTTCAAGTCTAATGCGTGACTTAACATAGCATTTAATGTATGTCTAATGTAAAAGAAATATGAATGCCTATTCTTCGTACTCTCTGGATACTTGAACCATTATAAGTAACTTTTTAAGATTTGTTAATGTAAATATTTTATTTACGTACGATTTTCGTGTTGATTGCTATACTCTTCATGGTTACAAAATATGTTTCTGGCCGTCGGATGTAACAAGTTTCTTTCTCAGTGTGTTTTTCAGTTTGGTATTAATAAATATTTTGGCTTAATAAATATCTTAAATAATTACGTAAATCCGATTATTGTAATACTAAAATAATAACACGCGAAGAAAATTTTATTTTTTTGCTTTTGATATATTTATAGATATATCGTGACATATTCGAAGAATTTTTTATCTTTCCGAGCAGGTAGCAAATCATATTTCCAAAGTAGACTGCAGATTAAGATATATCGGTGTAGTTTCCATTAAACGGAATGTTAATATTCGTGTCTCTTTTAAAAAATTTTTTTACGAATTGACACATTGTGGATAAATGTTTGAAATATACGATTTATTTTAAAAAAGTATGTGGTATCTACTTTTTGAGTTTTGTGTCTGAGTTGTTTTGCCGATGCCAGATACTCAGCATATTCAAACATTTTTCTCGTTTTATGTAAATTCCGAATACTTAATGTAAACTCGTTTCGAGATTCGAAGTGAAGGAATTGCGGATGAAATTCGATCGCATTGACACTTTTCGATCATTCAGTGTGTAGTGCTAAACAGGCCGTGTTGATTCCGATAACTGAATCCATGCAAAAGCAGTGCTTCTCGCACGCCGATAACTCGCATGTTTACATGCTTTACGCGTGCGGTATTGTGATGTGATTCGTATGCAACTTTTTTCGACTCCAGTCTCTTTTGTTGCCCAACTTTTAATGAGATAACGACGAATTCTTTTCGTATACTTTTGCTCCCATACGGCTGATTCATTCTTGCTAATACGTAAACACGAATTAAAATCGTATAATTTTAGTTTTCTCAATTTTTAACGTTAGATATATTTTTCGCTAATAAACAACACGCGAAAGAAACATTTCTAACGACAATTTTCATGTCTTCTTTGCCAAGAATAAATATTGGTGATACATACTCCTCAAGGTGTTAATTGTATTTCGCTGCAAAAATAGTTCTCAGTAAACCGGATATAATGAATATTGACAATTTCAGGCAAATAATATGTTTGCGTATGGTACCGTCGGTGTCTTAATCGCAGTCGGATCGTGCAGAACGATTCAACGCGCGCTTTTTACCGCTCAATTCCGCTTCGTCCCGTCGTTCAGTCCTGGTTGCGCTTGCAAAATTGCCGAAACGTGCGTGCGTGTCTGTTTCGATGGATCGCACAACTCTTTTGCGTGTAACACGGAGAATTCTTTAGATCGGAGAAACCGACGTCTACAGCAAAGCTCGGTCCTTGAAAGATGAATTTTTGCAATGACTTAACGCTCCGTCGCAGATTGCAAAACATTTACGAAATACGATAAGTATTTTGCTAAATGCGCGCGACTGCCGAAGAAACAACAGCGGAGTATATATATCTGCAAATTTTTATCTGTTTACTACGATGACAGGTATCGTAAATTCAAATGGCCACAGATCCGTACAAATATTAAATTTATTTCGTATTACTGGCAGTAATTTTTATCAACTTTTAATTTCATTTATTTTTGTATATGTTTTAAAGGTCTATCGATATCCATTTTAATGAGAAATGTGATCATTTGCAAACGCTAAATTTCTGTCGTTAGCCGAATAAACCTCAATATCGTACAGTCTGTCTTCATTTCTACTTATTTTTTTTAATCTGCCATTTATTTTTACGTGTCTCTGTATTGTTTCGCATTTATTTTTCTGTTCCTTCCAAACCTCGTTCTCGTTACACTCAGTGAGCAATGAAAAGTATGCAGCATCTAGGAGCTGAATGAAAGGTGCAATCGTTTCGCATGAGTGGCGCGTACGTTTCGGTGAGGAAATCTGTATAACGCCGCGATAGCGCGTTTAGGATTAAAAATTCCAACCACGAAAATGGCGGACGGCTCTTCGACGACGAGGATCCGATTTTTCGTCGTCCGTCGGCGCTGTACCGCCGCCGAATGAGCCGTGATTATGTATTTATGGGCATCCATCAATCACTTTCGCTCTCCCGATTGCGGATATCGGCCTTTAGCCTACGGATTAAAGTCGTATCGATTTCTCGCCGTTCCCTATTGGCCGTGCGCGCTGCGTCGCTACCGTTTTTTCCTTTTTTCGTCTGGACAGTCGTTAGGCATATTCATGTGCGAGATAAATGGGCCTAACTCGGCTCGATTCCCGCGATTTAGAGCTATATGGTGGGGCGCCTAACGCCGCTCGATACACACGAGCCTAATTCTGTTTTTCCAAAAATATGTCCGTATAGTCGGTGCGACCATTCAAACGCAACCATAAACCTGTCAAACGTTTCTCAACTACTCTCAAGTAGTTTTACCAGTGTCTCAGAAATTATGTCTCTCGCGTTGTGGCATGCCTGATACTTTCGAAATATAATATTCTCACAAAGATTAGAAGATGCAGACTTGCAATAGGAAAAAGTGTAGAATATTATAGAATAAAGTTTGTTTGTTAAAGCGCCAATATATTTTTAAAAACTGAAAAAGGAGAACTCTATATTACAAAGTAGACAATATAATGTCTACAATATAATTGTCATTATGAAGAAAACGTTTTGTCTTACTAGAATTACACTAATAGCGTGACCATGTAAGAATTAACTGCAAGTTTTGCACTACCACGATTTATATCGTTGAATTTTCTATTCTAACATAATGAGAAAAGAGAGAAGGAAGAAAGAAGCGATACGAAAGATAGCAAGGCGCGAGCTTACGAGAATTCTATCTGATTTTATACCATGTGCTTGAGATAATTGAATTTCTAAGGAAACTAATTACCGTCATGTGTAATAATTATACTTCATGTATCGCGTAATCGTATGCAGTAGAGAAAAGAAAATTTTAAATGTGAAATGGACGTTAAATGCTAAACGAAATCAAATTCGGAATAGAAAGAACTTGACTGAAATGGGGAAAAACGTCTTTTCTAAATAATAGTATGATATTACAATATTTTTTTAAACATTAATATTGATTACAAAAAAGTAGATGTACAAGAGCGTTCTTTACAACAACAACAACAACAACAACGACAATTCTTTATTTTTTCTTATTTCCATTTAAAATGCTGGCGACATTTTTCCCTTTCTCTTTCTCTGCGATATTAACAGCAAAAGCATTAAATTCTTAAATAGTTTAGTATTGACAATCGATCCTTATCGGCCAAATTTTTTATTATAAATTGTAAATTGTCATTTGGCGCGTTAAATAATAATCAATCTATCTCGATTATATTTGACGCCAGGCGGTCCTCCCCCTTGGTGAACGAGTTTTATTTTTATGCCGACACTAAATGTCAAATGAAAATTTCGACGCAAAAGTTTGTTTCGAAATAAAACATTATGGCTGACGTGAAGAGCTCGCGAACATACTTGCCGATTTCGAAGTGAGTTTGCTCCGCCGCGCCGTCAAACGGCATTGAGAGTCTCGCCTTTTTCTGTGTGAAATCTTGATGATACCAACGACTCTATTTTCTGTCGATGGATTAAAAGAGTATATAAATTAAATGTGAAAATAACACTCTCTCAATAAAAATAGCATTACGTGAAAATTTATTTGGTAAAGTTACACGTCGAAAGTGATAACCCTGGAGATACCAAAGGCGAATTTTATTTTCTCTCGAAAATCTTTCACGTAGTAAAATTTTTCGCATTGCATTGGTCTCACGAGAAATTAATAGCCGAGTGGGATATTTTTTTACGTCTCTGATATTTTTTTCGTACGGTACATTATTGATTTTGTGAATTGATGTCGACTCCGGCTGTGTAGTACAACGAAGATCGAAGCGAAATGTTACAAGGGAGGATCACAAGAGAAGTGGAAAAGAGAAAGAGAGAAACAAAGGACCAATGCTGTCGGGTTATTGGTGTTTATTTCGTCGGCTCGCAAAATTCGCCGACGGCGGCATCTTCATCACTCGGCAATTTTCTGAATTCTCTCAGTGATCCGCCGGCTCGCGATGTATTCTGCCAATTTATATTTTCACCCAGAAATAATCGCGCACAACACACACGAGTATTGCGGAGCAGGCGAATACGCCACGTCTTGTCTCTCTTACCTCCCCCGCCTCCGCCTCCTCCCTCTGCGTTTTTTTTCGCAATTTATACTGAGATGCTTAAGCGCTCGCCTTGACCTATCTACTTATAAATGGCGGTCGTTTGTCAGGCTTTGCTAAATTTCCCTCGGTTCTTCGGCCTGCCGAGCCGGTTACAGCTGCGCGAAACCGAAGCGGCTCCGCGCTGTTTACGCAAAAACGTCATTTCCATACGTACGTCGGAATTCTCGCATCCTGCATTAATCCCCATGACAGGACAAATTCGTATATTAACCCTAGGATGCATTATTCAATTTTTGCTCGAGACCAACGTTATGCGCAACATAATTCAGCACTTAAGCAGTCGTATGAATTTTTATACGTGCGATATTTGTTGGGTACTTTATTTCACAGCAGTATATAATATTAATAATATTGATGCTCGAAGGAATTAACTTACTACTACGAACTAAATTTGCTTAATAAGAGAAGAGCGAAATAAATTATTTCAGAAAGAGAAAGAGACTAACGGCGAGTTCACTTAAAAAGTAAAAATCCGCTTGTCCCTTTCTCACACCATTTCCGGAAATATCTTCCATGTCAAGGCGGTCCATTGCTCGTACGTCTAGCTAGGTGACAGCTCGACATCGTCGCGACGTCGCACTGTAACTTCTTCGTTTCGGTCACAAATTAACGCCGTCTGCAAATAGTGATTGTATTGTATACGACGCGCACGAGCTCGTTCTCTTGAACCGGCTTTGTCGCGAATCTTCTCGACGACGTTGACGAGGATGACGACAACGACGACGACGAGCATGACGACGAGCTTCGTCGTCGGTAGACGTTCGTCGCAAGTCGTCCATGATCGCGTCTTGAGACACAACCAACCTTACCTCGCTTCCTGCTACCCTTTAAGACTTTAAGATATTCCGCTCGCCCGTCGAGTGATATCTTCATACTGCCATGACGGTGAATTATTGTCCACAGCCTTTTTCAGTCCTCCAGTTCAGAGAATTTCGCATTCTAGACGCGACATGTTCGCGCGCTACCAGACAAGAATCACTTTTATGTCGTTTTTCTCGGATAAGTGCAATTTTATCTGTATGAATAGAGAGAGGCCGTAAAGTGGAAATATTCGTGATAGCTAAAAAATAAGTTATGTGTTAATATTGCAAAAAATTATTTCTACAAAATATAACTGTCCCGAATAACATTTATTATAGTTTACCATTACATCTTAGTTGGAAAAGGCAAATGTATTTAATATTTTTTTTTGTTAAAATATTTGCAATACGCTGAAATGACTTTAATTTAATATATATTGTAAATCAAGGTTTCAGCTTTATTAAGTTGAAAAGCCGTCCGCAGAAAGTTGTCTAGTAAATGTGAGAAACGCCAATGAGATATCGGCTATATTAATTCAGTACTTTGTTCGGTTCTTTGCGACGCCTTATCACCGCGCTTTTGCGATACGAAAACGAGGACGAGTTGTGCGCAGCTGGAAAGGACGAATTTTAACCAACGCGCCATACTCGCATTCTGCTCCGAAATGGATCGTTCGAGCAACTTTAACGTGCGTATCGGATTAATTCAAGTGTAATAGCAAGCGATTCGATTCGCACCGCGTAATTTTCGCAATTCCATCGCAATCTTGAATTCAGTATTCAGCGCGAGATAAATCAAATTAGATGAAAGGCGGAGAGAAATTGGTAACAATTACAATCGCTTTTTTCAGATTACGTCGGTATATTTTTTCTTCTATTCAAATAAATGTTAATAGTACCTTTCTCGTCGTTCTCAGGAGTGAATTGCGCCAAAGGTGAATTAAATTAAGCAGAAATCTGCGGATTGCAGATCGTTTCTGATTTTTTACAGTATTGCTTCTCAGTAACGGACGCAATTGCATTCTTCCGGATTGCATCGAACACATATTCCCACTTGCTGCGATTGATAATCGCAAATTCCCGCCGGTTCTTGTTTTCGCGACGAAATTACGCGGCATTCCGAGCCCAACGCTAGAATTAAGCAATTAGCGATAATAATCGGCTTGCTTTCGTTCCCGTACAGAATGACGTGACAAGCCGCGGGCTTGGAGGACGCCGGGAAAATCATTGCTTCCGTTCTCGATCGGCCAACCAACCGATCGCGATCGCGATCAATTGAAGCGAGTCTCCAGGTTTCCATCTATCAAGTTCTCTCCCCCCCCCTCTCTCTCTCTCTCTCTCTCTCTCTCTCTCTCTCTCTCTCTCTCTGTTCTATCGATATGCCACACGTTCGAATTTGTCTGACAATTAGTGCACTTTTGTTTGACATCCATCAGCTTTGCGCGAAAACTTTATTGCTAGAAATCACCAGGCCTTGCCCTTTTTTTGCGGTATTCTAGAAGGTCGTTGCGGCTAAGCGTAATTGAAATACGCGGTTATTTATTACCGGTCGTACGGTGGTACGTAATTAATTGTTTCTTCAACGACGATTAAATCTTATCTTTTTCCTTCACAGTGATAATGTAACGAAGAAAAAGTTGACAATCGTGATTCCACGAAAAAATTCCAATAAGTGTTTGTGTCTTTTGAAAATAAAATATAAAGTTAAAAGCATTTTTCTCTTTCCTCGTTATACAATAAGGTAACCTTCCATTATATTGTATATCTCATGAGTAGGATAGATTACATTTTGAAATATCTGGTAAATTAAAAGAGCTTTTAGTTAAAAGCTAGAATTAAAATTAATTACTCGCTTTCTAAGAATTATTGAAATTTAAAATTTTTAAATAGGTTTAATCGAATTATTGTTTCATATTATATATTTAATCATTTTTAACTAACGATAAGTTGAATTTTAATTGCTCAGTGCATCGATGATGTGTACATAAAACTTTTCATTTCCTAAATTTAATTGCATTGCAATTGCTTAAATACTATAATTGTAGAATGCATGGTAGTTTACTGTTCTTAGAAGCACCGGTTGATGCTTGTTTTACGAACTTGAAGTCGTGAAGTTACGATTGTTACAAGATTAAAAAAAGCTTAAAAAAAAACGTGACATTCTAGTAGTAGTTTCCCGTGTCACCTTTTGAACGTTCTCTATCCACGTGTGCACTCCGAGTCCTTGCGTCAATCGTTATAAACGCGCGATTCTAAATTTACGAGCCAACGACAGAATAGACAGTGCCTATATTTAAATAGGAAAGAAACCCGAAGATTACGATATTCAGAAGCATTAACAGATAATTGCAAATAACATTTTTAAATTTGTAGATGAAGCTGTAACGATCTCATTTCAAGTATTTGATATCTAAATCGAGAACGTATATGTACGATTATTGATAGATAATATCTTTGAATAAAAAGAAGCATTATAAGTAAATATACGAATATAAATATTTTATACTTGTTTCAAGTTTGTAATTTTTATAATTTTGTGGTTGCAGTACGATGATGGCGGGCTGCACGGGGGTTACCTCGAGGGCGGTGGCGGCGGTGGAGGCGCAGGGCTATACGATCCACACGGTAGTGCCCGCGGTGTTCCCGGTCTCCATCATAGCCCACACTTGGGAGGTATGGGTCCAGCCCACCCCCAATATCCACCGCCTCCTCCTCAGCCTCCACAACACGTTCTCGCGGCGGCAGCTGCGGCCGCAGCCTCCGCGGTGCCCGATGTTCACAAACGTGATAAGGACGCCATATACGGGTGAGTGAGATTTTCTCTGTATTTTCGTCATATGTATTTTTTATTATCGGATACGCGTCGAAAGTGTCGCGCAATGCAGTGCCGATCAGTAAAACGAGTATTATTGCGTGGTGATAACGAACACAGTCGTGTTAGACTTCTAAATACAGCTACCTATCGCGATATTATGCACACTTTAGCTGCCATTACGACGATCTTTTAATTACGGTATAACTTTATATAGGTTTGAATACAAGCGCATGACAACACCTAATAATTGTGGTAATCGCTGATGATTATGTGTTATGTTATAATCTGTCTCTATCTCGTTACTTGTCAAATTTGCATAAAAGTACGTATGTATCGATAAACGTTCCATTTTCCAAAGCGGGATGTTTCGGCGAGAAACAGGTGCGAGAGCAATCGCCGGATAAACTTGAAATGCACATAAATTCGTCGTGGCCATTTGATTTTCTGAATCGGTCTACTCGGCTTGCCTCAACAACTGCCCGTAACGGACAAGTCGTTGCTAGATCGCCATGATTTCTTCCCGCGCTTTCGAAAGGAAGGTGGCCTTCTTCTTTCTCTTTCCGGTTGATGATAGAGTTCCTATATCGAGAATAAGCGTATCGGTACTACAAAGTTAGTATAGAATGTTTCAATATTGTAGTTGTTATTTTAGAAAGAAATATTTTTACGTTTAGATTATTAAGTATTTTATTATTTTAAACATAGAAATCATATAATAATATAATTAATATTTAATATATTTAAGAAAAACAGTAGATGTTTGCGTTGAATTAAATATTGTATTATAACGGAAAATATAGGTTGAAAAGCAATTTAAAATGTTTATCATTTTCGAGAATTAATGACATCAATAATTTATGTGTTACTAAGAAAAATACAAGAATGCTATTGAATATTTCATGTGATACTGTACATGTATAGTCTATACTGAAGTCATATTGTGAATAAGAAAATATCTCTGTATCAAGCAGAAAGTCTGGTTGTTAAATTACCGAAATATCAAAAGACAATGCATCGATAGTTTAGGACTGTCATTAGGATTCTCAATCACGCATAATATTGACGTTACATTTCGAAGTAGCGTATTCAATTTTCCGTATCACGCGCGATATCGTTTTTGTGATACATCGCAAAGTCGGACAGAATATCATTACCATATGGTTAACTCGAGAGATAACCATGTTTCAACGAGTTCTCCCCGGCTTAACGATACTTTCCGTTTCTCTGTGGTGACAATACGTTATATTGTTTTTATACGCAAATTTCTCGCCTGAGCTGGGTGGCAATATATATGTAAATTTAATAAGAAATTATCGCAAAATTACACGTATAAAGTATACCATACATGAAAGTATAGAGAATATACGCAAAAAAAAAACCTATTATCAGATTGCGATACGTAGTATTTCTCTTTATTCTTATTTCTTATTTTTATATTTTGTTTAAGATACCTGTATTTGTTTTCCTCTACATCATTATAGTCGTATAGCAGCTCGTGCCACGCGCGACGCATCGTTCGTACAAGCTGAAACACGTCAATTGGCCGTTTTACGGAGCGGCTCGGCGGCCGTGTTCCGCGTGATTTATAGCCGCGAGATGCCCCGATTTCTGATGTACGTCCTAGAACGGGAGCCTCATTATTCCGTGCACCCTGTAATTTGTCCATTCGTCGTGTGCCCCGGTCCGACCCGAGAGCAGGAGATTCCACAACTTTCTCGGAACAGCGCCGCCGCGCTAGAACAAGCGCTTTTGGTGCGTATACGCACGCCCTCCCGTCGTTGAGAAGACCCTACTCCTATCATATAACGATATCTTATGTCTCGGTTATTTGGAAGATTAATTGAAAGGCGTTGAAGATAAATTTGGAATCAATTTTGAATTAATTTTCTTTATTTGAAAAATTGACAAAAAATAGAAACAAAGAGTATTTTAAATAGTTTTCGATACAAAATTTGAATCTTTTAAAATGTACATTTTTCTTTTTCATTTGGGTTATTTTTGGAAATACTTATGACCTCACACTATACCATGTATGTTTTTTCTGTTGCATGGAAAAAAATTGTATGTTAAAAATATTCACGTCTATAGGTACAATGTATTCCGATTTAGAATACGCTTTTGGCAAGATCGGATTGAGTCATTCAATTGCAGAGTCCGTAGCCATTTTTGTCCCATGTTTCATCCAAGTCGATTAATTCGTCTATTAAAGCGCGCGGGGCTTTCCACGTGCGAGGAGATTGATGCTGCTCATGCTCGAATGTAATGAGGCGCGGTAAAAAGAAAAAAGTCATGGACATCTTAATGTATTTTTTTTCATCGCACATGATGATTTTTAAAACAAGTTGCATAAATGTATAAAGATGGATCTTACTAACGTTTGCAATAAAATAAGAATATAGAGGTATATATTTTACAAATTTTTTTACATATGTACAAATAAAACTTTTAATAATATAACATACGATTTTTTTATACTATTATGCGTTTTGCTAAATTTTCAATAATAATATTTAAATAATAACATATATATTTTTCAATATTTTCTTAATTCGGTAATTAAGAAGTATTGTACAGTAATATATTTTTAATATGGCTTTGTCTCATAAATGTTTAAAATAATATGGAGAAAGAATGTTGTATATCTAATAGGTTTTTTTATCATGACGTCGAAATTATCCTAGTGAAGTTTTATGTAAGAACCGGATGTAAGATGTGAAGATGAATCTAACCAATCACTGGAATCTTGGCGGCTTATGCAAGGGGTCGTTTACGGATTAGACGTCTTGCGAGTCTTACGCAAATCCGAGCGACAATTTATATCGTTCGACAGATGGAGAAGCATTATCGTTCAATTATCGATTGCTTGGTGAAATAATAAAAACTATAGATATATTATTTTCACAATTGGCGATTTAATTGATATAACTTTGGCTTCCTATACGAAAGAATGTGAATAGTCGTCATTTTTATACAACGAATAATTCGTAAAAGAAACCTACAGACAAATTTTTTTGTAATTTTCTTAAAACCTCAATGGTTTACAAAATGTAAAGATTTTAGAAGCTGCAGATATCTTATATTAACTATTATTTATCATTTTTTACTCAAGGGGATTTTAAAGACGATTAAGCATAGTGAGAGAGAGAGAGAGAGAGAGAGAGAGAGAGAGAGAGAGAGAGAGAGAGAGGACTTAATACAGACGATTTACATGTCATTGACATATCACTACATACTACTACATCAATAGGTATCTCACGCATATATACACATAAATTGTCGTATAACAATAACATTTTAATTAAAATCTAAGTCTAAGTCCAATTCTAAGAATTCTTCCCACGTTGTTTCTTCGTGTAAACTACTAGTCTGTGGACTACTATTTCATGAGTACAGATCGTACAACTTTTATACGAAGCAAATGTTATCACGATGCGACAGCTCTAGAGCGCTATATATATGTATATTGGACTAAGAAATAGTAAAGATCTTAATTTTAAAATTTTTTGTCGTTTTTGGCATAAACTCTACCTCACAGACACGTATTAATGCGTATACTTTAATTTTGGAAAAGGATTTTTCAATCTGTAAAAAAGGAAAAAGTAATTGTTATATAAAAATTACCTATATGGTAATCGATAATACATATGGTTTTAGGATCAATAGTAATATATTATAAATTGAAAAAATAAAATTTTTTTCGAAATGTTTATTTTGTTTCTTATATCATAAAATATTTGATTTTTAACTGAAAATTAATACGATTTTATTGAAAATTTTTGCTTGCATAAGAACATTATCTGACTTGATCAATAAACATTGCGAATTTATTTACGTAATGCATCCTATTACAAGCAACGAGTCTTGTAGAAATTATTAGGTAGTCGGAATACTTTAAAAGCGATTTATAAGTGACAGCAAATTAGAATAATTATGTATCATTTTATAATCTTTGGCTTTCTTTTGATCTTTATCTTTTTTTTCTTCCGATTTGTTATTTCGAGATGACTCAGGTTATGTATGCGATTATTACATGCACTAGTATCGTCTTCTCGCATTTGTGACAAAATGGAAAGACATTCTCAAAATTACAACGCCGCTAACAAAATTAAGCCATGCGCATCAAAACGCGTCGGTGTCGTTTAGCAAATCGTAAACCGCGGCACAGCGTGAAATTGACGATATTTGTGCACAACAATAAGAGACATAGAAAGAGAGAGCGAGGGAGGCATAGAGAAAGAGACAGAGAGGGGGGAGAAAAAAGAGGGAAGAGGCGTCGATTTGAGGGGCGGAAACCGCAAAACCGCAAACATCCCCCCCCCCGTACGGCGTACAACGGCCCAATCATATCATTACCTTTTGCGGTTCCGTCATTCTGACACCTCGTTTCTGCCCGTCGTTTGTCATCGACGTTGCACTTTGTTGTTGCGCCGCGCGCGACCGCGTTTTCAAGAAACATGCACTTAAAGTACCGCCACGTTCAATCGCGGCTCGTAACGCACTCAATGGTTTTCCTGACCGCGTATAAAAGGGGAAACTCCGATTGGCCTCGCGAAGCTTGGGAAAATACTAAGCGAGATTGGCGAGATCGCACGCGTTGAGAATTACAAATCTTATTCGTGTGGAATTTGATTCTACACTATCAAAAAAATTACCATCACTTTATTCCGTGCGATTTTTTAGTGCGTTTCCTAATCTACTCGAAAACGATCTCATGAATCGCGTTAGCTATCTTTGGATCTCATTAGAAGTATAAGAAGGAGACAGAAGAGCTTTCAATACGGCTGGGAGCGAGCGAAAAATCTAAATTAACAATTACCGCGCGACGTTGCGTTAAATCGATTATCCGATGGTGGACGGTCCGTAGTGCTGGGGATAGAGAGTCCGAGGAGGAACCGCGGCAAGTAGAGGCGATAGAGATATGGACAAGGAGAAAGCAAAAAAAAAGACTTCTAGGTAAGACTATACCGCGGTGATGGCGGGCGAAAGGGGTAAAGTCGACGGGACTTTTTTTCGCCTGGTCGGTTCGTTCAGTGTGGTGGTCGGTTCGGTTAGGTTGGCGCGCAGGAGAGTACGTTGCTCGCGGCGGCCACGTCAATTTGTCGAAATTCGTTCCGAATCGTTTTATGTCCGCCACGCCGCGAGACGCGACCCGCTACCATGCGCACACAACGCCTCCACCTTGGCGGCTACCACGTTCGCGCCGCTCCTTCTCTCTCTTTTTCTCTCCCTTGAACCTCTCGGGGGCCGAGACCCCTCTAGGGTTTCATCGCCGTCTTTGAAATTGTATAACCCCATGGGACGAGCCGCGAGCTAAAAATCCGTGTCAATGGTCACTTTTAACCGACTACGTCGTCATACATCTCGTACATACATATATAGTAGAAGGGTATAGCCTATTTATATAGTGAATATAGTTATATATAGAGACGTTTAATGATTTATTTACTTGTAAAAATTTTTTTTAAGTAAAGATTTTATATATTTTTGCATTTATTAATTATTGTTGAGATCGTCGAGTGCTTTAAAAGAGATAAAGAAAATGATCGTGTTTGAGGAATTTTCTAGTTGCTGTGATATTTTAGATAGTTGTGCGTAATTTGTTGGGTAGCACTGTCAATTTCAAGTACTATATTCGGTAACAGTCATCTGAAATAAACGTGCATACAAATTAAACGCGTTGTTTTGTAGAAATTTACTTTGTGGGTTGTGTATTTAGATTATATGTACACTCTTATCATCTCTTGTCCACCTGTGTCTCTAATTTACATACAACTGATCGTTTGACAAATTCTAAAGTAAAATGTTAATGATACGAACGCAAATTAGAAGTTGATGTAAGCTTCGTTTAACTTCAAAATGACGTCAATTGCATTTGCATAGCTGCAATCGTAAATACGTCCGCCTTTTGTACTAAGGTTAAATTTCATATACATAAGTGATTCAATGTAATGTAAACTTTAAACAGAAAAATTCCTCTGTGAGCCGTTGCACGTTATAGCAAAATGGTTATACATTATATCAATAAGTAAATAATTCTAGAGCGTCATAGAATTATGTCAGCTTTAAACCTCGATATTAAGGCCCTGGTTGCAACGATGTTGCACAGGCACCAGCTTAATCTTATCTTATCCTCCTAATGCTGCATTGGTAACCGTACTTTACATGTAACATGCGCTTATACGCACAAAGGAATATTACGTCGTATCGAGTAATACGACAAGCTCTTCCATTTTTCTCCTCTGTTCTTCCTTTTCTCTCTCTCTCTCTCTCTCTCTTTTTATTTCTGGAATGGTTTTAAGAATTCTCGATAAATAATGCTTTTTTGATAGCACTTTGCATTTTTTACTAGGTTTTAATCATACATAGTTATTTATTGTTATTTTATGTTTAGCCTTTTTTATTTGAAAAATAAGTTAATTGAATTTTATTTAAATGACTTGTATCGATTTGTATTACAGTAATTAAATTTTGAGTGGTATCTTTAGATGCGTGTTTGGATTTATCGTGGTCGATAAGACGCAAGTCGAAATTAACCTAACGGAAAGTAAGAACGATTTGCGACCGTTTTCATTATTTAGCGTGTCCTTTCCATTAAATTCGCGGTTTTCCACGAACACACGTGTTATTTTGTTTTGGTTGTTATTGGCAAGAGAGGCACCATCCTTTATCATCGATTATTTTTCATCATTATTCAATTTGTTTCGGGATATACGAGGCGCGTTCACGAATCACGAATAAATTATAAATTGAGCTAAGGAAAAAACAGTACAAGTTGTGTGTATTCTTTGATTACTGCTGATAGCGTCTTGCAGAAAACATAATATAAAATTATTCTGCGTAAAACGCGGGTTCGAGCGAAAAAATGTCGGGGCAATATATAGGAATGTACAATACATGTATGAATTTGTAATAAGAATTTGTAATTAGCTAATCAATCTTGGATTTTCGTGTACAACGTCGTTTTCTTCCGCGTAACAAAATGTAGGGAGCGACCTAATGGTTGTATAAAGGCGTCGGAATCATTTTTTCCACGCGGATAGCAGTAAAGTAGTCCCCTGCTTTTCGGTTAAGCGCTTCACGCCGGATTTTGCTTCTTCTGCCACCACGGTTGTCCGAGTTAATTGCGTCCTCGTAGCGCTAACAGGCGGCCCACCCCGTCGGTCACGCGCGGATAAGAGAAAAACGCTACGCGGATAAGAGAAAAACGTGCTGCCGGTCTACCGCCGTGCGGACGAGACTTTGTGTCGATTCGGATCGCTTTTTCGCACGGGCCACGCCTCGACGATTCGAGAAACGCTATTTACGGACATCCGGCACACGGACATCCAGAACACTCGCGAAGAGACCTCTTCGGCGCGGGAATCAGGCCTAGTGTATGAGTGTCTTAGTCTATCTATATTTTAAGACTCTTGTCGTCGACGAAGAAGCATTATTACTGTATATTTCTTTACTACATACACGCACGCGAGATCTGCTAATTATATATCGATCTTAATTAATTACATTCGTGAACGCCAAGTTTGTTTCGTTCGAGATTTTCGCGCCTCCTTTCGCAAGTGCCGACGCTCGTTATGTAACATCGCGAGCATCGGATAATAATTTATCGTCTCTTCGCGGAAATAAATCGGGCCAGAAGCCGTCGGCCAGAAGCTCGAAAGATTGCAGTGTTAATTAGCATGCTTACCGAGATCGGCACTGCTTTGCGAAACGGCGATGCGGTACGCTCCGTTAGTATAATGCGCGCGTATCTGCCGTACGCGCACTCACTCATCTTGCGTTATTCCCGTTATCTTTAAGCGTATTCTCTCACTTCTTCTTTCAGACACCCCCTGTTCCCGCTTCTCGCACTCATATTCGAAAAGTGCGAGTTGGCAACGTGTACACCGCGCGAGCCCGGTGTAGCCGGTGGTGACGTTTGTTCGTCAGAAAGCTTCAACGAGGACATTGCCGTTTTCTCAAAACAAGTAAGTACAGAATATTAAATGTATAAAGAAAGACTATATATGTAGACTATGGATATATATGTATGTCATATCGCATTGGCGAATCTTATTCGACGTAGGTATATTTACGCTGTTGTAACATTATGATCAGATTTATGAATTTATTAATAGAATAAAGTAGTAGAAAAAATATAGCTTTTCTTGGGAATTAAATTTACATGGACAATTAATAAATGATCGTATATGATTGGGATGGTATTTTTTACCTGCAGACTGACTTACTTGACTTAAAAATGAAAGGATTTTTTAAATATAGTTATAACAGTTATAATTGTGAGCCGCTTTAAAAATTCCTTGGTACGTTTTAAAAGATCCTTGGACGAAATCTTGGCGAAAATCTTACAATTTTGTTCGGCGAACTGTCGCACGATTCTTCCGTGAGAGAATGTCCCGGAGGGATTTTCGGGTCTTCGCATGAGTCACGAGGACGCGCGTTTCGTCTCCGTCCCGAAACATAGTAGATCCACGCACGAGACTCGCTAGCGTGTCTTAAGCCTCGAAGAAGAAGAACCCTGCCTATCCATGGGACTTATTTTTAGGATTACCGTTGAAAGACCTGGGGCCTGGGTATACGGGCCTCGTTCTAGCTACGAAGCAGAAGATTCGCCCGCGTTTTTTCTCTTCTCTTGCTCTCTTCTCTTCCTATTTTTTCTTTCCCTCTAGCGACTCACCTGAGGCAGGTCCCCCCAAGGACACGCGTAGGTAACTCGAGAGCCCATGGGGCCGCATGCCGTGAAACGATTTGGACCTTTTAAAACATACCATTTTGCCGTCTGCGTGCCAGATCGCGCACGTAGGTCTATTCGAAGGTCTTGGAAAGTATACCAGTCCAACGCGAGTTTCCGCGTGTTTTCTATAGATAATTTCCTTGCCTCAGACATTTGCATCGATAACGTGATATACATGGTTAGAACGACTAATGTCATTCGATAGTAGGAAAGTAAAAGAATGAATATTTCATGTTTGAAAGTGTCACGTTTTCTTCCTGTTATTCGAATGCTTCAAAGTGCTCTACTTTAAAGATATTGAACTAATTAATGACTTATGTAACTAAGCGTTGATATATTCAACTATATGTAGCACGGACACATGTAATCTCTCGGTTTACGCTGGGAATAATGAATTTTTTTGCTGCGAGAAACGTGATTAGAGTTAGAAATAAATCGAAAATGATATTTTGAATGAAGTGTAATGAAGAAAGCTCATCCACTTTTGTCTGCTTTTTTTTACGTAATTTTTTTTAGAAATATAGCATTCACGACGACATATTAAGTTGAGGCGACAGAACGGGCAATAAAAATGTTATCATGTTCGTTTGCTTATGGTGAAGCGATGCAAACGAATTCAGCACATTTAGATTGAAGGGTATCGGACCCATTACGTTGCACCGTTAGATAGCTGTAACCTCCAGTTATTTTCATGTGGCATTATGCGACTGAACCGATACCGTAGGATTTTATATTATGCACGATGCATCATTAATTCAAATTCTTAACCAAGGTAATAGATAATATGTTTTAACAGTATGCACGATAGATATACGATCATAAGAATTTTCGCGAATACGTTCACGCGATTTCGCTCACGCATTATTATCGCTGGAAGGAAAAGAAATTCATCGAGTTTTACACCTAAATATAGAGTGTCAGTAATACGGTAGCAGTGGCTTTGAGCAACGCTATGCTGAGATAACGATAAGAGTTAAGCCTCGGCGCGAGGTAGGATAAAGTGGCGACCCGTATGTATACATTATTTTGTCTTGTTGATGCCGAAAAGCACCAGACGATAAGAACGTTCCAAATTTCCGGCGTATCGAGATTTTCGAGATAATCGAACGCGTATCTTTTTCTTCAGCTCTTTTTCCTCGATAGAGGAAGTGGAACATGGTGAAACTCGCGTAAAAATCGCGAATCTCGCGTTTCTATATTATTTATCTACGAACGAGCGTCGACGTTATTACACTTGGTGTATACCGTCGAAGATACCCGGCGGCATTGCGAAACTGACATGATATTTGCATCTTAATAAGGCGCACCATAAGGTGCGTTTCAAAACGCGCGAAAAATAATGCTTACGACTACGGAACGTTTATTCCGCGACGATGCCGTGCGTGTATATCATCTCAATATGATCCCGTTTTTTACTCGAATATTTTTCTTTTTTTCCCCTCGGCGTCGAAGTTAATTCCGTGATTAAACTTATAGAATATCAAAGCAGAAATTGACAGTCCCATGTAAGAATCTTTTCTTCTATATGTATCCTGATTTTTTAATAACGATAAATTAATAATAATACAGTCAACGCGCGCGCGCGGAAAAGGAAATGGATATAATTGGATAAATGAAAGTGATGAAACTATTAAAGAGAAAATTGTGTTACATTTTATCATAATTAAAATTATATACACTTATACAGTATTTAGAGTGTATACAGTATCACGCTAAATAAAACATCTATTTGCGAGATTTATAATTAGTTTATATTAATTGTCAACTGATACACTTTTATTATCTCAATCAGATATTCTTAAATTGTTTCAATGCGAGTAATACATTAATTTTTAGCATTTATCAAGATTTGAAAAAATTCGAAGGCTATTTTTAATTTAATATTATCATTTAACATTAGTTTACTATATTTAATCGATAATCATTTTAATAACTTAAAATTCGCTTTGCATTAATTTGAAACTATTTAACTAAATTGAAATCAGCGTATCCCATTTTTCTTTCTTGCGCGTTCCATGCAATCGTCTCTAGGAATACCTGTATTGTATACCTATTTTCTTTTACGCGAGAACGCATCTCCAATGTATCATACATCTCAAATCAACACTTCGTAAGCATCGATATTCAAGCGAGCGTTGCCTTTGAAGGCCGTCACTAGGCGCGTAGATCTCACGCACACGCACACGCACACTACACATTACTCACACACACACACACACACACACACACACACAACACGCGACGATGCACGTCGGCAGATAAGCAGGTGACAATCCTCTTGCGGCGGTTTCTGAGGCGCGCCGTGTGAGCCATGCCCTCGTATCCCTCGGTGTCCCCTTCTCACCCCGTGTATCAGTACCGCCGCGGCGCGGCGATAGGGCCGTACGACAAAAGGGCCGCATGCTGTGCGCAGATTATTTCGCGTTTCGTTGCGTGCGTACTATGCGTGCGTGCGTGCGTGCACGCATGCGCCATGGCTGCCGTGGGGCACGGCGCATGCGCGATCTTCAGTTGGGGCCCGACCACGGCGGTCGTCGGAGTCGTGAGAAGCACCGAAGTGTGGAGAGTCGAACCACGACGCGGCGATGGCAGTAGGGGGGCCGGAGAGGCATCGAGAGGGGCATACGATGCAAGATGGGAGTGGGGAATGCTCATTTTCTGCCATTGTAAATTGATCTATTCAATGGGTCCACTATTATCCCCTCCTCCCCCCCCCCCTGCGGTCCATGCATCGTGTGCCCTATGGGGCCGCGATATTCCAGTCTTCCGTGCCCTCTTCTCTGCCCTTCTATATTCGCTCTCTCTCCGCTCCCTGCCCTCGCCATAGACTTTTCGCGTCCTCTTTCTCTATCTTGATTCGCTCTCGCACTCGTTACCTTCGGCGTCGTTGCCTGGCTGCAACGTGCCATCGGGTGTACCCCCGCTGTGCTACGTTACGCTGTGCCTTTGTTGCACCTTTTTTTCACCCGTCAAAAGAGGCATCTCGCCTCTTTTTTTTTCGCGATCATCGCCGGCGACCGCGTCGAAAAATTTACTTGCGCTTCGCCGCCTCACGGCCGTGCATCCGACCTTTACGTGAATCTGGCCGGTTAAATGAGCGTCGCGATGTTCGCTCGACTATGAATAAAAGCCCTTGATCCATACTTATCCACTTATAAAGACTTGACTTTAAAAGAATTTTGTTGCATAAGGAAATCTATGATTAACCATGTTATAAATCTATTATTTTTTTTATTATTTAACAGGAACAAGAGAGACAGTTAAGCATTATATGTACGAGCTTAAGAAAGCTATTTATTTATAGGTATTCCAAATAATATTTTTCCGACAATTTTTAATAATTTATATATGCGCATCGCTAAGGCATGATGTGTCGCTATTATTAACCATGGGCGAGATATTCTTCCTTTTGTATAATTGTGTTTTGAATGAGTCGAAACTGCCAAAGTACTGAATATGGAGACGTGGGCGTGCGGGCACTCATCACGATATCTCGATTCCGTGTCGTGCTCACAAATACAGAGAAAGAAAGAGGTGAGTGAAAGAACCGAAGAAGAAAGATCCTGTAACGATTTATTGGTATAATTAGGGTGCACCTATCTCTGGTAACATTAAACCCTCATAAAATGCTATTCCTGCATTGATGATGATTACTAGATGAATGCATTCTGTTCAAAGCTGTCGGTTCTCTTTCTTCTGTGACATTTATTGACTTCCTTCTGTTCAGTTCCATGATTCAAAGACCTTATGTACAAAAATATAAACACTATATTCGTTAAATTGTTTTTACATTGAGAAATCTTTATGTGATAATCATTGATAATACGCTATAATATGATCTAAAGAATTAACAAGCCGTTACGAGAAATGCTACGCTATCGAGATATACTTCGATTTTAAGATTCGAGGTCAATTAACTAAAAAAGTAAACGAAACCCATGTAAAACTCGCTAGTGTGGGTAGATAATATTTTCGAACCGGTTTCCCGTTATCCGATGTTATTGCAATGCTATTGGTGAATTGGACTTTACAGTGATCATCAAATTTTAATTAGAAATTAATCGAATATTAAAATGTAACCAAAACGGTATGTTTAATAAAATTCAAATTAAAAAGATATTTAAATTAAATATTTGGTATCTTATCATGAAATTTTTAGCAGTTGATCAAAGTCATCCACGGTACTTTTGATATTTTTTACGATTATACGTACAATATAAAAATTGCTTATCTATTGTTGTATATAATTAAAAGTTCTGTCTTGATTAATGTGATCATTAAGACTTTAACGTCGGTGCGAATATTTGTAAAACAAAACATATTTCAGGACTTCGATCCATTGTAAGTTTAGCTTTTTAGAACTATTTCGATTTGTGCATTTCCAACACGTTTCAGATTTTCTCGTTTTAATTGTTTCAACACCAGGCGTGTATACACGTTTAATTCTGTTGTTACGAGCCGCACGACTATCGCCAGCGGTCTTGCCGTGCTACAATTTCGCAATTATCGCGTTCTAGCGTAAATATCTCCCCGTTTTGACGTGTGCTACCACGCAATAGCGATCACGCGGTATCACGCGCTCTGCCGGTTCTCCTCCTCGCGACTCGACAGTCGCTCGTGTCATGTCGTTTACAGAAACACGTGCCATGCAGTCACATTCGTATCACTTAGAATCATTCCTTAACTCTCACTAACATTTAAATGTCGAATTGTATTCGGTACTTTGGGTAGTTCACAATCATGTTAATTACTTGCACTGAAAAGAGTATTATGAAAGCGGACTTTAACACCGTGCGTATAAGATTATAGAGAGAAATAGAAACGATAGTTTTCAAATTAATTAATTTTCTGTCACGCATATTTCTACTTTTGAAAAGATTGTAAAATATTTGTTGCCCAAATAGAGTATTTGTCAAAGCGAGTAAAGGAAAGTTTACTCTGCAAATTTTCTTGTTTTTGTACACTCCAAAGCTTAGAACCATTTGTGCTATTGTGTAGAACATCCTTTCTTTTTAGTTTTTGATGTTTGCCGATTTCTGCAAAAAATCGTTTTTTTTTACATTCTATGTGCTGTACACAAACTAACAATAATATGCGTGAAGAATTTTCGGAAATACTTACTTTAACGATTGTAATAGATATAAAAAAGGAATCAACCACCAGTCTATTTAAGAAAGTCAAATGTCTTTCATACATAGTCCTGCTTTGTCTGTGATCCCGGAAGAAATCTTATTCTTTTATTTTATTCTTTTGTTAGAGGGTTCATGTTGAATAGGATTTCATTATTTGAGAAAGTTAGAGAAAGTGAAGATTTTTCTTTATTTTGGTTTTAGGAAACTTGTACAAGATAAATGTAATATTTAGCATTACGTTGCTATTTTTCTAACTACTAAAAATTATATTGTTATCGCAAGATGTACGAGAGAAAGTTAAAATAATGAAAACTGCCGAAGAAAATATTAAAATTGATTTATCTTTATTATTTCTGTTCATTTTTATTTGCATAAAATTTTTCGCAACTGTGAACATTAAATGAAAAGATATTCCTTTGAAGCTAATTAATGTTGTACAATACCATTTAGAGTATTTAATATTGAGAAATAAATGAAAAGAGAAAGAAATTGGAAAATTTTTCGCTCGTATCACGCGTGTTCCAGTCTACTTAGAATTCTCGAATTGCTCAGAAGGGAAGGGTTTTACGAAGGGTTTGAGGGGGCGGCAGCAATAGTAGAGGCAAGAGAGCAGCAACAGCAGCAGCCTCCAAAGCAGCTGCTTCGTATATCTCTCGGCAGGATCGGCGCACACCACGTACCACGTACCACGTACGCAATACACATGTGTATTTTCCTCCATGTGGTGTTCGTACGTGCACACGAGGTCGCCCCCCCGAACAGACACCCCGCATGCCGGAACGAGAGCATTCTCTAAATATTATCGCACAATATTTTTACCGCCTCCGCCGCGCGTTGAGTTATGCGCCTGACAGCCAGCAAAAGCTGACGTTTCTATACGCATCTATCGATGTTTGTTTTCTCATCGAACATTCTCGTACGAGAACGATTTTCTCCGCCATCATCGTACGATGATACCGTGTTTTTTCCTTTTACGAAAACCTATATTACATCACTGTTTCAATATTCTAATGAGTTATTTCCTATATTGTTATACAAACGATGTAATCTAGATGGAATATATTGTGCAACTATAATTGTAGAATTAAACGCCGACTAATTTCGTCAATTTTCCCATTTCTCATTACTTTAGACATTGTGAATCTTTTTATTTCTCGAATTGTTGCTAACCTCTTTATAGACGCGTCAGTTCTACGTGTTAGTGTATAAACAACTATATCACTTCAGGAAAAATTGTGTATATAAAATTAAAAGTAAGAGGAAGAAGGGACGCGCAGAAGATAGAACAGGCTGTTTACAATTTGTAATCTTGCCTACCTGCATGGCGCTACCTCGCTGCTCGGAGACCGTCGAAAAAGCGCGATGACAGGACTATGTAAGAACTGTTCTTCTTCTTATCTCCCTTATGTACGGTTGACGGTATTTTTGTCGCATGAGACGCCTTTATTATCTATAATACATCGGAACAGGAGAGCTCGAGAACTTTCATTCAGAATTCTAGCTCATGAATACGCGCTCTTGACTGGAAATTCGTGCGTGCGGACAATATTTCATTATCCGAAGTTTTTTCTTTCATAGAGAAGCAACTAAATCTTACATTTCTCGACTCTTCCCTCTTTCGACACTGTAAGAGAGAAGTCATTCAATCCGTCTGAGAAGTCTCTTGGGGTCTGTTAACGTATTCAACCTCGGGTAACAAATAACGATGTTATCTAATAACTTCAAGAACCTTCCGTTAATTTTTTGTAAAGTAAAAGTATATAGAACACGAGGAGAAACAAAATAAAGAAATATCTATTTCTTTTCTGATTAATTTATTTCGACAATTTATTTGTATAGCTCATGTTTCTTCAGTGGTAAACGTAATTGATCTCACAACGAAAGAGAGAGAGAGAGAGAGAGAGAGAGAGAGAGAGAGAGAGAGAGAGAAAGAGAAAACGATAAGATCTCATATTATCGGCTCGAACAGTAACGTTTAGATCTTGATGTTGAAAAGAGATTAGTCCTACAGTTAGTCCTTCTTTTTCCTGCTTTCGTTTATCGTAAAATAAATAATTCAAATGCCAAATATGAAAGTTTTGTTTTCATTCTCTGGGGCATTACGCACGGCGCCATGAAAATGTTTGAAAATCTCACCGCCTCTTCACTTCCTCCATTACTGTCTGCCTTTTCGATTTGCCACCGGGATTCCATCGCATTCCCCGACGCGTTTCCGTTTCTGTACGTACGAATTGAACAGTAGGGGTCCAATTAAGAGGCAGCACGCGAAGGAAATCGCTTAAAAAAAAGAAGTGGGAAGATGAGGATGAAACGGCGTGGTGCGGGGTTTGGTTGTGCTTATGTGTGCATATATGTATGTGCACCGAGATGATATGATCGTCCGTATAGCTTTAATACCGCAATTACGCTGGGTCTAATTATTAACGCACTTATATATGTGTCTATGTGTTACAGATAAGACAAGAGAAGCCGTATTACATTGCGGATCCGGAGGTAGACTCGCTGGTGAGTATTTCCTTATTTATTCGTCTGCATGTGTAAGCGACATATCCTTTGCGTCTCTCAATGTCGCTCATCTATAGCATATAATATCATCCGATACACGATTAACACGCTCGGTGCATGAGACACTTTTAATCGCTCGTTTTCCCGTCGGAAATCATTGCAAAATTCGTGCAAATTTAAACGCAAGAATCGCGAAACGCGACCCGTTCGTTTGGATAAAATATCGACGATTAATTATGGGTGTATATAATTAAAGACGAGGATGCTTCGAGCGAACCGGACCGCAAAACCGCGTTATCCGATTTAGTGGTGTGTAAATAGCGAGAAATCTCGTAGTCACGTTTCGTCTTTCCTGACGACTCCGGTGCACGTCTAATCGCTCAATTTCATCGAGCGATCGCCCGTCGAGATATCCAAATACGGTCGGCCGACTTGAACAACGAAATAACGAGTCAGGAAGTAAGGTTACGACGCGCGAATCAACGCCAGAGTTCCATACCTTTTTTCTCCCAGCGAGTAGAATAATTAACGGAGCGTTATCGTTGCGCGCTTCCATCCGTCGTTATTCCGGTCGGAACACGAATTCGGAGTTTCACGTGGGCGGATACATTTATTATATGATATCTGGACGATAAAACAGTGTGTCCCACTGTCCAAAACAAACCGCCATATGCTGCATTCTTTTGTTATTTCCTAAATATGGTTGAAACTATCTGCAATTATCCCAGATTTTTGCTTTATTAACAGATAGAATAAAAAAAAAATAAATGTACAATTTCATTATTTACTAAATAAATGGTTACATTATGGTTCTACTGTGGATAGATACAGTGCTGTAGCGAAAGGTCATTTTTAGCCACAATTTATGACGCATTAATTAAAGATCTAAATATGTTGTATAGTATTGTTTTCATTGACGAGCGAGTGACCATTTTATTCGAAACTTCAGCGGAACATAGAGGAAGAAATATTTTAGGCGACCCTTCATGTTCTCTGATCGAGATAACGGAGTGAAATGGGTTTTTTAAATAACTTCGACCGTGTATTTTCTCGTCGGGCAGGAACGTGTACACGCAGCTTTGTGGTAATGGTCAGGGAGACTTAGGACCGATCCGCCATTATGGATTCCTCGAGGAGTCATTGCCATCTCTCTTGCCTTTATTGTGTTTTGCACAAGATTTTTCACAAAGAATTTGAAATTATTGAAAAGTGATTTCGGTAAAATCTGATGTCATTATTTTTTTCTGGAATCTATTCATATGCAAAAGTTTTTGGTATTTTTTTGTCTTAAAAAATAATTTCTCAACATTATGACGTAATCATATGGTACCTAAATATAAATATATTAAATAAAATTTATTATACTTAAAAAATAAATTTAAAATACGACAGTTTATATCATATTCAAAATTGGATTACGAAAAGTTAACAAGAATTTGATAAAATATTTGTTGGAAAATATTTAAATAATGTTACAGAATTGTATACAGTATGTACAAGGAGAAAGATTCAATAATAAATTGTAATTTCAATAGGGGAAGAAAAATTATGTATCTCTATCATTTATATTTGAATCAATACGTATGTAGAATTAAATTTATCTCATGTTTTGTTTGTCTTTCAGAATCAGTTAGTTTCGTTTAACAAGAATATATTCGAAAAATATATATTTTTATTGGGGTTATGTGTGGAGATCGTACTTTTTATCGTCATTATTTTTGCGAAAATATTTTCGGCTTTTTTTCTCCATAGACAGTTTTTATTTAAACATATACGAGTACTATATTTCTGAAAATCACATGTTGAGCTAATGCCGAATTGTTGTTACGCTCTTGTTTTGATTTTTTACATGGAAGAGAGGAAGATAGAATGGTAACGAGAAATACATTTCGTTGAGCGTGTTCTCGCACTGTTGCCCACAATTTTTCGAAACGTCATGTCCGTTACCTGGCTTGTCACGACCGTATCGAGTCACAAATATTCGAGCAAGGCAGCACCTTGCGTTTACGGCTGTCACAACTGTCGACTGACCTTATTTAAAAATATTAGCATGGATGTGTAGGAACCTGGATAATGCTAAAATGTTTTATTTATTTACTTGTAACACTAATGCAAGTTAAGAAAAGAAAAAAGTCCAAAATATCTAACACACAGAATTAATATAATTTTTATGTAAAGTCTTAATAGTCTTTTGGAAGTCTTTTTAAATTTATTGCTGTAACTTTTTTCTTTTCCTTCTCTCTGTCTCTTTTGATGTAAGTACAAATCATATAAAAGAAGTATCATCGTTGATTTATGTCTTGATTTTTGTGCCACGAGGTCGAAAGTTCATCGACGTTTGGGTTGTCTTTCGTGCCGATTGTACGTGCATTGCTCTCGGCTATTCTCGACGCGCATTTGCAAAAAGCCGCCCCTGGCAGGTGTTACTAGTAGTAAATCGAGGAAGTTAAATGGGTTCGGCAGATAAAAATTTTCGAATCGTCTACCACCGTTGGCGCGGCCAACCTGTCGCGATGGATCGCTAAAGGAACATCTCGAGGCTGGTATATTCGCCGTTGCACTCGTCTGCCGGTGCAGTCACCATGCGCGTTGTTGTTTACCGGTTGCCGTAGGAAGGCCGGCGGAAGGTGGCGTGGCTTCATTACGTCCGTGGCAAATCGCAATCTACGAGCAATGAGCTTCTATCGTAAAGAAGAGGCACGTAACGTTCGCGCTTTTTGCCTCGTCCACTTCACCCTCTTTCTCTCTTCCTTCCGCCGCCTTCCGTCCTTTCGACCTTCCGTTCTCTTCCTCCTCGATTCTCTCGAACTCCGGACTTCTTTTCTTCTCCTCATCCTCCGGTCATCTTTCTTCTACCGCGTTCTCTATCTCCGAGACAAAGATCTCCCTCCTGTGCCAATCGAATGAAGCTTTTTGCCGATAATTTCGCAGAACGGAAAAGTCGCCGAGTGAGATTGCTTTCCGAGCCGAGTGTGGTGAGACTCTACCGTTTTCTTCGCCGGTTGTTAGCGGTCAGTAGCGTAGTGAAGAGATAGTTTTGTTGGTTCTCTTCTCTAGTATTTCCATTATACACGGTTGAGTGAGCATGAAAGTGCTCCAAGTGCAGCAAATTCGGCGCAATTGTGATCACTATGCTGTACAAAATCAATGCGGATAAAGAAAGTCGAGAATAGAATCTCACTTGAATTGAACACATATGTATAAAGAGCATTTGTAAAAATAACTATTAACAATGGTTAATCAAACGTTCTAAGAGAAACAACGATATTTCTCGGATACTTCTTCGAAGGGATGGATTTCTCTGATTTTTTAAAAAGTTTAATTTGTCGTGCTATAACAACGTGCATAGTCTAGACCAAAATGCAATAGAATACTTATTAAAAAAAATATTTCCAAAATAAATGCACGAGAGTCTCTTCGAGCGGTTTCAGACGTTCGAGAGAGTGACACGCTCTCAGACGGTTCTGCGCACGTTCCAGTAAATCGCGGGGAATTTCCTGATGGTGCTAAACGGGGAAACCGCACGAGGAGACACCACGTGGGCGGACAGAACGGCGCGGTGTCCCGGCTCCTTCGAGGCTCCTTAGTACGCGTCGTAAACGGAACGTACGGGGGAAAGAAAGACGCGGCGAGACGTCATGTTTCGCGCAACGGAAAGCGGTAAAGCGAGCAATGCGAAGCGACGCGACGGGCCACTAAACTGTATGCGAGACTGCATTGGGTGCAAGAGGAAGCCGATTGTGCAACGAAGAGAGATACCGAGAGTAAGAAGTGAGGGAGGAAGAGAAGGATGGTCAACCCTTCTCGTGCACGCGCTTAAATAATATTCCTATTAGCATAAGCGAGAAATAAGCCAATGAGATGCTAATTGCCAGTCTTGCGTTTGGAGAATAATTATTATCGCGAGGGCATTCTACTCTCTGACCGGACGTTGGACCTCGCCTTCGTGATTTACTCGTGGCGCGGTGCGGTGCACGCAGGAGGCCGCTTCGGTAAGAAGCGGCATTATATATACTATATAGCTCCATTATTAATTTTTCAAATATTAATTGTGTAGCGTATATGCGTGAGCGCGCGCGTATACATGCGTGTATGCTTGATGATTCGTCGTTTCTTGCGCAACGATTGCTCTAACCCGGACGTTGTTAAGTAAAGATTTCGTTTCGTAATCTCCCGGAAAGTCCGCGGCAGTGTCAAATCTGCTCTGGGTAATAACTAATAAATACGGTTCCGATATCGAGATGAAATGTTTTCTTATCGTGAGATTAATTTCAAACTATACCATACTACGCTAATATACTGCGCTACGAGTGTCAAAATGTATTTTTTCTCTTTTTTAAAATTGCCCGCAATCTAAATCATTCATTGAAGCGCTGTTATTCGGCGAGCACGATAAATTACGCAACGTTTTTACATATTGCGTCAAATTTATTTTACATTTATTCGCATCCAACTTTTTTTTTATTTTTGATCGTGTAGAAATTTTTGAACCGTTGTGCATACGTTACATAAATTGTATCGTATATTTCAAAGTCCGAAATGTTTTCTGATAAAAAATTCAGGAGACTCATTAATCAATAAACTTTTTTGATAAGATCAGAAGGGTTAAATGTGTTAAATTAATGTGATATACAAATGATTTTTTACCGACTTTATAAAACTTTATTTTCATGTGTTATTTAATAGAATTACATGGTTTCATGTAAATTTCGTGTTGAATAACATGTAGTCACGTTATTTCATTGCATGTCGGTTAGAAGATTAAATAAAATTGCACGGAATGTGTGTACTTTGATTCGTGATATAAATCGTAATCATGGAGAGTCAAGAATATGCGACGCAAATATCTATGTAAGGATCGACAAGTTATACCTTTGGCATCCTTCTCGCCGTATGCGTGATGTCGTGCCTTTAGCACGCGATTAGCGCGCGTGTTCTCAAGGTCCAATCGCTGCGGGCAATATTATCGCTGATTATTGCAATTTTGTTGCAATCTCCGT